CTCCCTCCCTCCCAGTCGAGCCGAGCCGAGCCGAGCCGAGCCGGGCCTTCTTAAACCGCAGGAACTAGGAACTCCCGCCAAGCGCTGCGCCCGGCGAGGTTTCTCACTCGGGGAAAGGGCGTGGTGCCCAAGCAGGAAGAGACCCTGCGGAGGGCATTTCTTTTAGCGCCGGCCCGGCCAGATACTCAGTGCCTCGATTTGGGAGGCTGGCAGACTGCTTGCACAGAGCAACAAGGGCAATTCCGCCCCAACACTCAGCCCGGACTGAGCAAACCTGGAAGGGAAGTTAAAGCCCCAGCACAGCGCTGTCCTTAAAAGAGCTCCACCAGCTCGTGAGGCTCTACCATGTAGTTCTTCTTTTGGGTTGGGGGGAAGAATCAGAACCATACTAACACATAACGACTGTTTCTCTTTATTAGCTGCACTTTCAGATAAATTTCTCTTTTTAAGGCATATCCTTGTGTCTGTGTTTTTATTCTGAACTCTCATCCAGGGCTGGGCAAGGGTATCCAATGCCAGGCTAATGGCAACATAGCAGAGGAGTTTTTGGGCTCTCTTGAGACCTTTCTTCACTCACACACCCAGAGTGTTCTCAGACTTAAAGAGAGGCCTTGTTGGTCTTCCAGTTACCTTGTGTATTTCCAGGATTGAATAAAGATCCAGTTGGGCTCTGATCACTCCCTGGAAACACTTGAGCAGTTTTCTTGGGGGGGGGGGGAGTGGTTTACCATTTGGCTTCTTCTGGGATTCCCAGCCTACTCCACTGGGTTGAGGTTTCCTGATGGTGTCCCATCCAAGGAGTGACCCTGCTTAGTTTGGACTCATCCAAGTCCTGCTATCTGCTGAGGAACATAACTGAATAGTGAATATTATGTTTGCTACATTTGAAAGCACAGTGGAAGAACAAAAAATTAAGACAACTGAGACCAAGTTTTGCTTTTTTCTTTTCCTCTAATGACTAATTGGGTATCATGGTTTACAGCCTACAAGTTTAATTAGTTAATTGGGCTACATGCCCCTAAGAATAACTTGAAACCCTTTGGTGGCAAATCTTCAGCAAGTTCTCTCAGTTTTGTTTCCATAAAATATTTTAACAACATAAACCCCTTGATAAAATAAAGTAAAATAAACAACATACAAACTTGTATAGGTCTCATTTAAATTCCTGATTTGTGCTTTAAATTTAAATACAAAAGAATGTCCTGGATTTGCCTGGAAATGCATATTTTTCATTTACATATATACAATCTGTAATGATTAAATTAGCTTTCACAGATAAATTATTGTAAGTACTTTTGGAAGTGCTGAACTGCTTCTTTTTCCCCATAATGAATTAAAACATACTAAAGAATAGTCATGTTCACGTATGCTGGTAAAAAAAGGTCAAATCCATGGATTTCCTTTTCTGTTTTTTTCCAGATAGACTATACATATTTTTTAACAATTATTCTTGGACAAAGCCAGGAAATTATAAGAGAATAGAGCGACACCGCCCTCTAGTGGTAAAACAAAAAAAATCTAAATCGGCTTTCCGAGTAAAATCCCACAACTTTATCAGGTTTTTTCTACACTCGTTAAGAAGTTAACTATGTTCTCTTTTAATCCCCGTTAATAAGAAACCTTTTTCTCCTATGCTAGTTTCCCTTGTATGAATATTATTGACCTAATTGAAAAATTAACGCAAAGCATACACTTGTTACAAAATTACCAATCTACCTATAATCAGAAATGTAAGAGAAAGTATTGTATATGCCTTGTTTGGCATCTTTAGAGACTGCAAAATAGATACAGTGAACGTTCAGTGCTGTCCTGCATTAGCCAGCACATAAAGATATTTTCATTACTAGGTATTTTTTCTTAACCAAATGTCTTATTTAAGAGGAAAGACATAAAAATAATTAAAAGAAACGATGAACTCTAAGCTAATTTGATGTAGTGTAAATTTTCCACATCTAAGGATTATGTTTGTTTTTATTTTCATATTATACCCAATCTTCCTTGAACTTGTTTTTTTAACTTAAAATCCTGACCGCAAGCCTCATTTCCCCGCCTATACGTGATAATAGCGATCCTTCCATACCGAAAATGGACTCTCGAGCTAATATAGGAGCAGGCAACTTGGAAGGGATTTAAGCTGCCCATATTTCCAATCAGATTCCACCACACTAACTAGTGCCATTTTGAAATCAATACAACATGGACTTGGATTAACCAAGGGAAGTTTAGATTCAGTTCAGCTCAGCCCCAAAAACTGAAACGAGCTTTCTCTTGCCCTAAACTGCCATGTCTGGTAAGTCTGAGAGGGATCTAATTTTGTCACCGTCTGTCCCACTTGCTAAGAGCCGTTACCCACATCTGTTCAAAAATGATTTCAGCCTTTCTAAACTCACCCTCCAACAGCACTCCCAACTCTAGAATTATCCCACTTTTCAGACGTTGGTGTCTAACAGTTGACATTTATGGTCCAACTTTTTAAGACCTCATTTTGTCAACGTTTGTGTTTTACCCTTTCCAAAATGCCCCACAAACATCGAAATAAAGATGGTCTCAAAGAAAAAAAGTCCCATCCCATATCGTAAACTCATTAGGTCCAGACGTCTGCTCTTCTCAATGGTTTTATTATACCTTGGTTCTTCCTGTTTTCAAAAAGGAGGATAGGTAGAGAGCTGACGATGAATAGAGCACCAAAGCCAGCACCTTTTTCTTGGGCCTTTATCCTTCAGCTTCTTGGGTGGGGAGCAGGGGAAAGGGAAGTGTGATACCATCTCCAGATCCAAGAAGCCCCGAAGTCCCTGAGGCAGTTTCTCTGTGTTTAAATCTTTGTTCAGATTCCTTAAGAGGCTGTATTTATTTCTAGATTCTTAAATCTAGCATGGAGCAACACTTCCCTCTTTCTCAAAAAACTTCTACGCCCGTTTCCCAACCCCTATCTATCTATCTATCTATCTATCTATCTATCCATCCATCCATCCATCCATCCATCTACCTATCTATCCCAGATTTCATATTTATTGTGAGTGCACACACAACACAGGATTCAGCTAGTTTATCAAATCCAGTTTTCCATTCTTTTTAGATAGAGTTGGTAATTAAATCTCCTTTCCTGAAATCAATAGGACTTCAGAGTCAGTTAGTGGATTTTAACATACTTTTTAAACACACACACACACACACACACACGTAAATATAGTCAGAACAAGTCACTTGGGTAAATATTTGATTGAAGTAAGCACAGGATTAAATAAGCATTAAGTGTTATTGGCACAGAACTGACCACGTAAAAATGGGATCTATTTCAAGTATCATTTTTTCTGGCTTAAGTTTATTAAAAAAAGAAGAAAAAGTTCCAGGAGACTGAATAGATGCCACTGGGAGATATGGAATAATTATAATTGATTTCCATTCTTTTTTGGGTTGAGCTATATGGAGAGCTTTGTTAATCCCACCGTTCTCCCACAACCCCATAAAAAGAAATCGTTCCAGGAAACTTTCTACTGGTTTTTTATTTTCTGAACAAGCAATATGTTTATAGAATGTGGGCAAAAAAAATACTGGTGTTTCTGGGGTTGGTAGCTCTGTTGGAAGACGATCCTTCAGTCACCAAAAAGTCTTTGGAATAATGGAATCAGTCTTTCTACTCTGTCGGTCAATCGCCTGTATTTAGACTAGTCATTGTCTGATAGAAATGGTGGGTTTGCAGGCAGTTTTGGGGATATAAAGAGAGGCAAGAGGTAGGTTTTGGCCTTGCAGCAAGCAGTCAAAGGCACCTAAGTCACACACAGGTACCTGTCTTCCCACTTGCTTTCCCCTTCAAAAGCTGGAGGTTTCATTTTCATGAGGCCAAACTTTATTATAGAGCCTAGGACATTTACAAGCAAACAAATAAAAAACAGGGAACAAGCAAATGATGATGATGATGATGATGATGATGATGATGATGATGATGATGATAATAATAATAATAATAATAATAATAATAATTCATCCTTAAGTAGGATCACAGATGAAACACGGACTGTGAGCCAAAATGTTTTAGGCCTACGAACATTAATAAAGTTTCAAGTACCACTCTTAATACACTGCACTGAAGAAGGGAAGCCGTGCTTAAATAATAATAATGACGATGATGATAATGATAATGATAATCCCCATCCTCTTCCTTTTCCTTCTCCTCCTCTCTGGCAAGAGTCTTGGAAAACAAAGTATACAGAACCAAGAGACGGGGGAACAGCCAGATTGTCTCTGAGGAAGGGCAGGCTTTGTGCGCTGAGGCCATTCAAGCAGCTCGCTTTATAATTTGGGATTCTCTCTTTGGTAGCTCCTCAACTTTGCTTTAACTCTGGACAAGACATTGGGAAGGGAGGTGTTTTAAGTCACTTGTATGAAGCACATCAAATGGTAAACTCCCCCCAAAGAATATGCACTCACTTTATCTCAAAACCAAAGGGAAGGTGAAAGAGAGAACGGCTTTTAGCGATAGTGTTCTCCGCCCAGAGAAGGCTTTTCCATACATCTCTTTCCGTTCTAAAATACCAAGGACCACATGCACTGATGTCTTTCATTTCAAAAAAAACTTTGATCAAGTTTGAACCAATGCACCTGGGAAAATAATGTTAAGAATAATGAATTGCTGCAGTGCTATGTGTACATGTATATGTGTGTGTGTGCACGTGTGCATGTTTCATCAGAAAAATCCCACAATATTTTCACAAACACAAGTACCCACATGCCCCAAGGTGCTAGTCCCCTTTATTCCCTTTTTCCTTGTTCATTTTTTTCATCTTCATTCTTCGGTTCTGAAACCAGATTTTAACCTGTCTCTCTGTGAGGTTTAAAATCCTAGCCACTTCGTAGCGGCGTTCTCGGGTAAGGTACATATTAAAGAGGAATTCCTTTTCCAGTTCCAGAGTTTGGAATTTTGTGTAAGGGCAACGCTTTTTTCTGGTGGAACGAGCGTGAATCCAGTTTGCAGCGGGGGTATCTGAAAAGGGGGGAAATAAAAGAAAAAAAGGGAAGTGAGGATTTGATGGGCAACAAGGGCAGCCATGGGGGGGGGTGAGAGGAAGGTTGTTAAATTATTTTCAGAAGGGTGCCTGCACTTTCCACAACTGAGGAGGGATTATCATAAAAGCCTGAAGGGCCCAGTCTGTTGACTGGACGAGTGATGTCTTCTTGATGATAGAAGGTGGTTATGGGGTTCCCTTTTTATGGGTGCCTGTGGCTGCTTGCGCCGGGATAGGCGTCTAGACGTTTTTATAGGTTAGTAAAACTATCCGTTTTGCACACTGGACCTTACAGGTTGGGGCAATAAATCAGCCGGAGTGTCATTTCTTTTCTTTCTCTTTTCCCTTCCCTTCCTTCCTTCCTTCCTTCCTTCCTTCCTTCCTTCCTTCCTTCCTTCCTTCCTTCCTTC